CACACACACACACACACACACACACACACACACACACACACACACACACACACACACAAACACACACGCACGCACACACACACGCACGCACACGCGCAAACGCACGCGAACGCGCACGCGCACGCGCACGCACGCACGCGGCACGCACGCGGCACGCATGCACGCACACGCACACACAAACGCGCGCGCACACACACACACACATACACACACACACACACACACACATACACACACACACACAAACGCACATGCACACACACAAACGCACATGCACACACACAAACGCACACACACAAACGCACACACACACACACACACAAACGCACGCTGACACATACCCATATGTATACACCCATGTGCGCTCGCGCCACACGCTTGTGCGCAGCTACGGCCCAGAAGCCACCAGCACTGCCAGCGTGTCCAACGCCCTGGCTGACGTTGCGGCGGTGTTCAAGCACATGACGGTGGGGGCTGGGCGGCTCCTGATCTCTGGGAGGCGACCTTCGCAGCCCACAGGGCTCACGGCTGGCTGGCCCGTTGGGACTTGGATCCGCCGGCCCGCCCTGTGCCACCAAAGTTGCTGTGACCCCGCCCGCTTGTGTTTGGTCACTGCACCGAGCCAATTAGCCTCCCACACAGGGCTGCCATAAACGAGTCTGCCCAGTGGGGCCCTGCCCTTCCCTCACCTGACCCCCCTCTTCCCAGGCTGTGCGTGGCATCAGGGGTGAGGACATCATCCTCTACGGCCAGTCTGTCGGGAGCGGACCCACGGTTAGTTGCAGCCGACACTAATGCAGGGGCTTTGAGGAGTGTTGTTGTGACTTTGACTAGGACGCAGGTACATGTGCATGTGCATGTGCATGTGCACGCGCATGTGTGTGTGTGTGTGTGTGCGCGCGCGTGCGTGCGCACGCCTCGATGCTTGCTTCTTGTTGTGGCGCATGTGAGGACAGGGTTCACTGCTGCTCAGACGTGTGCAATCATGCTCATGCTCGACATTCAGGTCCCCCGTTCCACGCACCCTGCCACACTCCCTGCCGCCCTGATAGACCTGGCTGGCCGTGCAGGAGCGTGTTGGGGGCGTGGTGCTGCACTCCCCCCTCCTCAGCGGCGTCAGGGTGCTGCAGCCCAACATGCGCTACTGGCCGGGCTGGCTGGACATCTTCCCCAATCACCTGCTGGCGCCGCACATCAAAGCGCCGGTGCTGGTGCTGCACGGCACTGCGGACGAGGTGCAGGCTTGGCGGGGGATGGCAGGCGCGTGCTTTGCGCCTACCTTGGTCGCGCGCATGCATCCCCCTTTCCTTCCTCAGCCTCCCAACCCGTATTGGGGGCTGGACCGTCCCTCAGAGCTGCCAACACTCACCCCTTCATCTACCGTTGCGCCGCCCCTGCAGACCCGCTTTCCACACCTGAGCATCCCGGCCCCTCAAAACAAACCCCCGCCCAGGTGATTCATGTATCAGCGGGGGAGAGGCTGGCTGCACTGGCCCCTAACAGCGTCCGGCCCCTGCTGGCTCAGGTGCGTGAACTTGGGGTAGCCTTGTGTGGGGCTGCAGCTTGCAAAGGCCAACATGCCAAGGGCTGTGCTGGGGGTGCAGTTGTTTTGCTGCAGCAAAGTACCCGTGCTGTTGTATCCGCTACCCTGCCTGCATACGGCCGTGGCCCCCCCGACAAGAGTGTGACCCCCCAAATTCAGGGCTTTGACCACCAGAATGTGGAGTGCAGCCCCGAGTACATCCCCCGCCTGCGAGAGTTCCTGTCAACGGTGAGGAGGGCCGAGTGAGGACTGAACTGGGCCCAGTGCCGGGGGCCAGGGGCATGTGAGGGTCAACACTCTGCTGACTCGACTTGCCCTGGGCTTTGCTGGCCCCTTGCTGCTGCATGTAGCTGTGCTTTGAGTGCATCCTGCACCAGCCCTGTCCCTGGCACTCCCTCACCCCTGCACCTTCCCTCACCTCTCCATTCCACCGCCAGCTGTACCCTGACGACTACCCCCTGGTCAGCACCAGGCGGTAGGGCGGGAAGCACACGCTGGACAGGGCGGCGCGCTGCTCGGACATGGACAGCGCTGCCTGCGAGGGCGTGGTGGCAGGGCATTGTCGCGAGACGGGTGCACTTGGCGTGCCGGGCACTGTCCACTGAACGGAAGTCTTTTGGTGTGAGAGCCCAACACCACGTGCCCAAAGCATTTGGCATCCCATGGATGTGCCCAGCTCCAGCAGGCGCCGCCCGCAGCTCGCAATATGGTTTGTTGCCCTGCCACCGCGCCAAGGTTGTCTGCTGTGGCCTCCTTGTCGCCTGGGCCCACAGCAGGGCCTGGTCTTACGCCTGCCATCAGCTTGCCGCGTGCGGAGAGTGTCCAGGCCGTGGGGCTGGCATGTTTGAATTTCCTCACAGGCCTGCAGCTGATTCATGTTGCTGGACGGCCTCGCTGTGTGTGACCTGCACGCACATGCTTTCAGCACTAATGAGAACCTGATCAACGCCACTTCCGACTGACTGGACCGTCGCGCACCCCACCATTCAGAGGGTCCCTTGCGTTCGCCCCGCACCAACCACACTTGGCTCGATGCTGCCAGAGCGAGGATTTGCTCTCGCCAGCGAACACAGTAATACTATGTTGACGCCTTGGACCGTTCTCACTCGGCGTTCACCGGCATGCATGCCGCCACACCCCCTCGCCTCCTTCCCTCTCGCCAGCCTGCGGGCAGCATACCTACTGCTCAGAACAAACAGGCATGTATGCCTTTGGGCGTGTGCGATGCTTGCTGCTGTGGCTCAAATGGCGGCCATGCAGCGCAGCTGTTCCATGTCCTCGTGCTGTGGCGCTCCTTACATTCTGTGATCCCGCTCAAGAAGATCTGTGTAGGCGGCGCCTGCCTGGCGTGGATTGGGTGTCGTGCAGGCTGCCAAAGCCTGCGTGTCAGATGCCACCAACTTAACCCTGTAACGAAGTCGTTTTTGCCGGTTTTCACTGACTGGGCTGGGGCAAGCGAGTTCAGCCTGCTTTGCCTACCAACACATCCTTATGTTTCACTATGAACTCATGTGGGCTGGCCACGCTGGTCTGTGAAGCGGTGACGCAAAGCTGCTGTGGCAATCGCATGGATGTTTTCAGGCGGTCGTACCTGCAAGCACGCTTGAGTGCTGCCGCGGCAGCTAGCGCAAAGCAAAACACACAGCTTTCTGCTCTATCTGCAAAACGGTGCATAGGGGGAAAACGCGCCAGTTTGCCTAGCAACAGGTGAGGTGCAGGGCACAATCACCACAATTATGAGTACATGTCAGTCAACAGCTTTGCCCTACAATGTGCAGTACTGAAGCATCCAAGGTAGCCATTGGAAGCATCACAGCAGCGCTGCTGGTTCCTGAAAACATGGAGAAGTATGATGTGGAATAGGACAGCACGAAGCAGGTGACAAGCTTTGGGGTTTGCATACATTAACATTCTGCACAATTCACAGCCTCACACAGCCTCCTTGGAGGTGCACGACAAGCAGTACTAAAGTGATCAATATGAGAAGGCAGCACTGGCTGCCTGATGAGCAAGCACCCGGTATTGCAGGAGCGTTGGATCAGAGGCTGAGGAGCAGTGCAAAGTAGAGGCCAAAATTTGAGGTGAAAGTGGAGGTGGATGAGGAGAGTCTCAGCTAAGAATAAAATGACACGAGGTGTGCTTAAGTCACAGCAGCAGCGCCAGCAGGGACATAATTGTTGCAGCAAGTAAAGCCGCCAGCGGGCTAGGTGCTGCGACACTGGAGGTAGTGCAGAGCGCGTCTGCATTCTCGGCTTCGGTGGGCCGTGGGCGCCCCAGGCAGACAAAAGCCGAATCGTCTGTTGCATAGCATTCAGAATATGTGGCGTTGGGACAAAGCGCCGCTTGGAGTGGGCGGGACGATGTAGTGCCGCCATCCTGGCAGCCCGCACGCACGGCGTTGCAGTAGTCCCTGTAGCAGGGGGTGGCAACACCGTCGCAGCGCGCTGTGGAGTGGGCTGACAGGTGGGCGTAGCTGGAGGACCCTAGGCCAAGGGGTGGGGGGGGGGGAGGAGGTGCGCGAACAAGGGCACGTCCTTGGGTGGCACGCGCTTGCAAGGCGTCAGCAGCCTCACAGGCGGGCAATTTTCGCGGTCTTGCCGCTCTGGCGATTGCGCAGAGCCCCCTTTGGGGGGGAAGGGGGTAAATCGAGTGTCGACATGCAGCATCTGATGTTCGAAGGCGGCACCTTGTGCCCGTGAGCAGCACCCTAGGACATCAAATTTGGTTCAGGCAACCGCGCACACGGGGGATGCACTCACCTATCCAGGCACCGGCAAAAAAGGGCAGGGGGCGTGCAAATCGCCAGCCATTGCTGGGGCCCACAATCGCGCCGCTGCCGGTATAGCGGGGGCGTGTTGATGCGTGCGACGAGGTGCCGCCGTTGCCGAACGCGCTGTCAAAAGAGGAGGACCGGCTGAGAGAGGAGGTGCTCTTGCTTGTGCTGCTGCTACTGCTACTGCTACTGCTGCGACTGCGGCTGCCACCCCGCCCTCCACCATGCCCGCTGCCACCGCCACCCCCGCTGCCGGCCCTGCCGATGGCGGCAGGCACGGTAAGGAGCAGCAGGAAAAGCAATAGTGCCCCGCCTCGTGTATTCATGTGGGTTTATTCCTACGCGAACAGCAGCTTCGAAATAGGCTCGCGAATGTCGGTCGAGTGCTCGAGTCTGATGAGGGTGGCCCGCGCGGTGAGGCGACCGCGCGTGCGAGATGGTGAGTGCGAACAACGCAAAACTCTTTAGGAATCAAAACTGATTTCAGAGACGGACTGGGGTGACATGGCCCGCCCTTTGAATGGGACCACCGCCAGCCTGCCACCGGCCCCAGCGCGGTGCCGAGCTGGCAAGGAAGGTAAGCTGCTGCTGCTGGGCGCAACACGCAGGGCCATGATAGTAGCAGACATTCCAAAATGCATTGCGGCAAAAATGGTGTCGGCAGGTTGGGTTGCGCAGTGGCAGGGCGGG